CAAACAAGGGATGGCCGGCTTCTCTTCATGCGTGCCCATTCTGTTTTGTTGCAGGTGAAAGTGGCATTGAATCAGAAAGTGTACCCTGCAGAGTGGACGGTGAATAAGATGAAGGAAAAATCGATGGCAGCAACCGAGGATGAATTGGATCTGGAGTCGGGCCGGATTAGACTCCAATGTCCAGTGTCTGCTCGGAGAATGAAGGTCAGCAGATACGCCAGGTTATTTGACTTCTCAACTCCTACAGTACTCTCCTTGTAGCTTGTAAAAAAAAATAAATGGTGCAGCAGATTGCGCAGGCCGTCACAAACAGGGTTGTATGTGTTATGCAGTGTAGATATGGTCATATGGTCTGGGCAAACTTGCAGAGTGTTCCGGTTATGCTTTCTAGGATTTTACTATGTTTGTTAGTTAGTTCGTGTCTACGACTTACGAAGTAGTAGGACATGAATTCTGCAGTGGCCGCAGTGTGTAATTTACTCATGTGGAACGATCTCACGATTTCACATCGCTTGTCACAACAACACAATTTCACACTTCACCACACAAAGCTCCACGCATGATTTGCAAACCAACATGATATGGGAGCACTTTGGAAAAGTCTCATACGGCAAAGCTTCGTGTATACACACATAGCCGCCGCCTGGCAAACCTCAAACAGGTAAGACTCTCTCTCTCTCTCTCTCTCTCTCTCTCTCTCTCTCTCTCTCTCTCTCTCTCTCTCTCTCTCTCTCTCTCTCTCCCCCCCCCCCCGGCCCTCTTGCTCTCTCTGTGCGAATTTTCCTTCTCTCACCCTATGAAGAGCTATGGCACCGGGCACCGTCAACTAGTGACTACTTCCCGACTCACTCGATGTTTGACTGCACAAGATCGCAACAGCGCTTCCGCAGCAGGCTTGGATGCAAAAATGTGCTGACACTCTGCTGGCGCCAGAGTTTTATACTCTGCTCCAGTTCGCAATCTTCGACTTTTCCAGAACGGTTCTCTCATTTGCAGGCTGCAGTTGGCTTTTGACGCATCTGGAGTGTTCATGGACTTTCCTGGTACTGAGCTCCAAGTGCACTGACGGACTGACACGTCTGCACTCCATAATGACCTGGGCCTACCGGACTGTAGAACCTACCAGGTTTTCTACTTACGGATGGGATCTATGAGACCTACCATATGGGGACTATGGTACATGGGGCTCTGGAACTATGGGAACCGAATCTAGGACTTAGATGCTGAGACTCGTGAAATCCTTTCACCCCCTCTGGGCTAAAGTCGAGGTCGTTGGACAAAGCTACGACTTTTTACCACCCATCTGCAATGTAGAGCCCTCTCAGAGCCTGCTCATAACTCTTCTCGGAGCGGTCTCCATTACCTATATCTGCAATGCAGATCGCTCCCTGAGTCTTCTCATGACGAGAGACTCTTCTAGAAGCGATCTCCGTTGGTTTCCTTCTTGGTGAACCATGGGTCTTCCTCGGGTTGCTGAAATTGCCTTTGGACTTCAACGTTTAAACTGTTCCTGTGGCTGCGCCCTTCTGCCTGATCGATATGTGTCGTGTTCGACTATTTGGGCAACGTCGCATCTGCTGTCCACGTCAGGTGGTATGATATATCTCCTAACGAGTTCTGTTACACAAGGCAACAGCTCCGAGGCGTGAAGCTTTGGGTAAGTTCGCCGATGCCCCCTTCTGCCTGATTGATTTGTGTCATGTCCAAAGATTCGGGCAAGGTCGTATCTCCTGTCCATGTCAGGTGGTATCATAGGTCTCCGTGAGGGGAACGTGTTCTGTTACACAAGGCAACAGCTCAGAGGAGTGAAGTATTGGATAAGTTCGCCGATGCCGAGGTATGTCAATAACGTAGAATGGGGCACATCTAATGCTTCCCAAGCCCTCTGTACGCAGGTACCAACTTTTGAGAAATAACTTCCTCAGGTCTACTACATCCTAGTAAAGTTCCTCCGGTCGGCTGTAACACTAAACCGCTCTGCGAAATTGGGCACTTGATAGGCAGCATATTTTCCGTATTTTTTTCTATCTACGGTCTGTTGGACTATGCAACTGGAAAGGCCACAGTCTGTCAGGGGCTGTGCTGGCACTGGCCAAGCGGTGCAACAATTCTAACCGGGAAAGATACAGCAGCCATAGTTTTTGTCGTTTTCAAAACAGGTCACTGTTGTGGCGAGGCCCTATGTCTATCACTATTGCATTTTCATTTTTGAACCCATCAGCGGCGTCGGGAAAGTTCGTTTGGGCGCCACAGGCATACACATGCACCAAGACCCCGAGAACACAGTGAACACACGCGCACAAGCACATGCGGACACACCCACACACTCAATCAGGTTTGGTCTCACCTAGCTGCGTGGGTGCATGTGTGTGTGTGTGTGTGTGTGTGTGTGTGTGTGTGAGAGAGAGAGAGAGAGAGAGAGAGAGAGAGAGAGAGCCAGTTATTGGTAACTGATCGGTGAAGTGTGCCAGACACGTATGTGTGGGGGGAGGGAGGTCAGGGTATGTGTGTGTGTGTGTGTGTGTGTGTGTGAGAG